TTTCAGTGTATACACAATTTATCCAGTTTTTCTCAGTATAATGTAATTTTTTAAGGGGATAAGCTTGTTTATTTTTTCCACAATGTTTGAGGCTGCCTGCTGCTTGTTGACATTGTATAACACTTTTCTTGGTATATATTAGGCCAGACCTATTGAGTCTGTGCAAGTTGTTGACAGTTCTTTATCCTTACAATGTTGTCAATTAGTTTCAGGGTTAAAATATTCTATTTATGGGGATGGGCACTTTACTGTATTGGATATTATTTTTGGGCTTGTGGAGTGTCGGTTTTGCCTTTTATGAAGTTCTTCAGCTCCTCTCTAAAGTGCAGTCCCGTCTCCTGAAGTTTATTGTCCTCTTTGGCCTGCAGAGTGGCATGGCCAGGTTTTTGACCTGGAAGAGTTTCTTTCTAGAGGGGTGGCAGCCAGGACCCCCCTCCACACTTCAGTGTGTTGGTACTGATTGTCTTGCCTGATTGCTGCCCCCTCTCTGAAATTCTGTTTTCCCAGAGTTTCTGTTTCTTTGGCTTGTGGCTTTGTTCCCAAAGTGGCTAGGTATCCTGTGTGGAGCATTTTCCTGCCAGGGAATTTGTAGTCTTTTCACTCCCCAGGACCTGATTGTGCTGCTGGCTCTGGGAGTGAGTGTCTCATCTGACTGCAGCCTCTTCTCCTGAAGTCTTTTGTCTTCTTCAATCTGCAGAGTGGGACAGCCAGGCTTCCAAACTGGAGCACCTTCTGTCCAGGGGGATGACAGGGAGCTCCCACCATAGTATTTCCCCTCATTGCTTTTTACAGTCTCACTTCTTGTCTGACCATCTAGCAGATTTTCAGAGGCACTGAATTGCATGGGAGGAGATTGTCTGTTTTTCTAACCACTGTTGGGCTTGGCAGCACAGTCCCTTACCACTCACTCATAGTAGTTAAAGAACTTGACTGCTAGCCAGAGGTTGGCTGTCTGGCCCTCTGCTTTTGTGCATATTTAGAGCCTGGATAACTTTATGTAAAGGTCTGTTCTTCCATGCAGAGTCAACTTGAATTGGTACCAATCTGATGAGAGTGGGTATACCCACTCGTATGGTGCTAGCTAAAGGACAGTGTCCTACACACATCAGGAAATTTACTTCACATGTCTGTTGGCCACCTGAACGTCTTCCTCTGTGAAAAGTCTTTCCATGTCTTTTACCCATTTTGTAGTTGGGTTATCAGTATTTTTCTTCTGGAGGCCCAGGAGTATTCTGTAAACTTTTGTTATGAGACCCTTGTCTGAAATGGTATTGCCAAATATTTGTTCCTAGTCTTTAGGCTTTCTTTTCACCCTTTTGGAAAAAAATTTTTGATACACAGAGATATAATCTTTAGAAAGTCCCCTTCATCAATTTTATCCTCTCCAGATTGTGCATTTCTGCATGTATTTGGCAGTCTATACCATAGCTAAGCCTTCTAAGCTTGGTCCCAGTTTGTCTCTTATGAACTTTATGGTTTGGGGCTTTATTCCAGGTCTCTGATCCACCTTGAATTTATTTTTCTGTATGGTGTGAGATGTGAATCCTGTGTCACCTTTCCGCAGGCCAGTAGCAATCCAGTTTTGCCAGTACCATTTGTTGAAGAGGTGTCATTTCCCCAGAGACACATGAAGAAATGCTCAGAATCACTGGCAATAAGAGAGATGCAAATCAAAACTATAATGAGATAAGCATCTCAACTCAGTAGCAGTGGCAAAGTTTAATAGGGCAGCAAGCATTAAATGTTGGAGAGGATATGGAGAGTTGGGAACTCTCATGCACTGTTGATGGAATTGTGAAATGGTACAACCACCCTAGAAGACAGTTTGGCATTTCCTCAGGGCATTGAACGTAGAAACTCCAAATGACCCAGCTATTCCACTACCAGGAATATACCCCAAGGAAATAAGAACTGAGACACAAATGGAGATTTGTGCACCATTGTTCACTGTTGCATTATTCACAATCGCAAGAACATGGAAACAGCCCAAATGTCCAGCCACAACTCAATGGATTGAATAATTGTGGTACTCACACACGGAATACTTTGCAGCACAGCACTCAGGAGCAACAATTTCAAAAAATGCTGTATAACTTGAGAAAGGCTGGAGAGTGTTATGCTGAGTGAACTACTGCAATCTCATAAGGATAAATACTGCATGAACCCATTATTGTAAAAATAAAAGGGTAACTAGTAAAATATCTATGGGAATTCATGGGGGGAGGGGAAGAAGCGGTGGGATGAGGATAAGTAGAGGGGAAATTACAGGGTTGGTTGCCCGGTTTGGTGGGTGGAGGAAGAGGAGGCAGTAAATGGGAAGGATCCAGGCAAAATGACAGGATAATGATGGGCAAGGTCCAATGGTAGTTTCTTTTATAAAACATAATGCATGAGAATGAGTGTGTGAAACACAATGTGAATGAAGGATAGTCATAGTGACCCCATGTACAACCGCCCTGAGACCTGCTTTACTGTCCCTGACACACCTACCCTCATTACCCCAGTCACAGTATCAGTCCATCTTACTGATGATCTCTCTCTCTTTCTCCGTCTCTCCACTCGTCCACGCATGATGTCCCTCTCCAAGGACTGGTCCCTCCTCACAACATGCCCAAAGTCTGTCAGAGGAAGCCTCAGAATCCTTGCCTTCAAGGAGCAGCCTGGCTTCACTCTTGGATGAACTTGTTTTTCTTCTGACAGTCCATGGTATATTCAATACTCTTCTCCAGCAACTTAGCTCAAAGGCATCAATTCTCCTTCTGTCGTCCCTAGTCATTCGCCAGCTCTCTGATGCATAACAAGCAATTGCAAAGACTATGGCCTGGATCAGGCACACCTTAGTCTTCAGACTGACATCATTGCTCTTCAGTACTCTTGAGAGGTCCCTGACAGCAGACTTTCCCAAAGTAATTAGTCTTTTTTAAAAATTATTATTATTATTATTTGTGTGTGTAACGTCAAATTGGATCTGACTGGTACAGGAGGAGATTGTCCCTCCTTCTTCAGCACAGCATCTGGTGGATTTGAACCACGTGCCTCTGGGATTGCAGTTCAGCTTCTTGCCACTAGGCCACCAGAGCTTGCCAGTAATTCGTCTTTTGATTTCCTGGCTGCTGGTATTGAGAGTGTTGATTGTGGAGCCAAGCAAACGGAAGCTATTAACAATCTCAATCTCTTCACCGTCTATCATGATGCTGCCATTTGGCTCAGTGGTGAGAGAATCTTGGTTTTCTTGATTTTGAGCTTCTATCCATATTGAAGGCTACAGTCCTTGATCTTTTGCATCAAGTGCTTCAGGTCCTCCTCAGTTTCAGCAAGCAGGGTTGTGTCATCTGCATAACACAGATTGCTGCAAACCAAATGGATTAAAAAAAGGAAGAAGGACATTTACTTTGGTGTAGAAATCCATCCATAAACCCTTTTGACCTATGGTATGTTACTGCCAACCCCAAGGCATGCAGCTTGAATCCATCAGTTACTCCACAGGAGAAAGATGGGCAGTTTCCTCCTATGCAGTTTTCTACCTTTGACTACACATTGGTGAGTTAGCTATGAGTCAATTCTGACTGACAAGATGATAAAGGGCTTATGGACACATATTTAAAAATTCCTGTTATTTAAAGATGAGTGATTACCCTCTAGGATATAATTTTCCACTGTTAAGTCTGTTCTTTATATTAAAACCAATTTTCCTAGTTTTCTGTAATTCACTCTTACAGTAAGTAAAAGTATCTTAGCATGTTTTGTATGTGAGGAATGATGATGATGCTTGAAGAGTTAAAAGAATTTTATTAAGCTCCTTGGCTTGGATCTAGGAGGTATATGTACAGTGTTTATTTTAATTTACAAATGTGGCAACATTGTGTGTACAGTTTTACAGCCAGTTGTGTTCAAGCTTGTATTTTTTCTATTGTTAGGTGCCATCAAGTTGAGTACAATTTATAGCGATCCTATGAATAAACTATCATCAGAACTTTCCCTATCCTCTGTGAGCCCATTGTTAATTGTCACTGTGTCAGTTTATTTTTATTTTTTTTGAGGATTGTCCTCCCTTTTTCTTTTTTTTTTTTTAGTTTCTGTGAAATAACGACTTACCTATAAATGTGAGATATGCTTAATAGAAGGTATTTTGGTGGTTCAGTTTAGTATTTTTGCCTTGGGCTATATTACTGTGAATTTCTTTGTGCCTCAATTTCCTGTTAACACATTGCAAAATCATTTAAAACATTTAAATATGTGATGATAATACTGTTTTGATTTTGCATTTTTCAAATCTATTGCAATTAGTACGATACTAGGCATATGAAAGATATGTGACCTCAGAGTAGCACTAAATGAGCAGATCTGAAAATGTCTTATGAGTGTTCAAATTGCATATATAATTTTTTGACATTCTATAACAACCACCTTTTAGACACCTTGTGAATCAGAATTCACTGGTGCTGTGTGCATCCTCTTTTCTCTCACATGCATACTGCCACTTACTGACAGCATCACACAGCGAATTTTGCAGAAAAGCTTTTTGCATCAAGCAGAGGTTTCTGACCCCACAGATATACAGATGTTCCTATAATTTCCTCTCTTAAGCACCCTTTTAAATATGAAAGTGAAGAAAGGAAAATTATATGAGTAATTATAGTATAAAATTAATGTAGAGAACCTTTTGAGTTCTTTAAAATTTTCTTTTCAACTTCATTTTCAGACCACCAGTTTCCCAAATGGTACATTTATTACATTGACTGGTCTTAGATTATGAATTCACCACTTACTTATCTTTTCCACTTCTGCCTCTTGTTTTATCAGGAGTGTTATTTTCTTTTCTCAGGAGGGTACTGCTGATTACAACTGTAGAGACTGGGTTTGGCTTCCGATGATTGCATAGTAAGCACTGCAGATAGATTATGAAAGGCTCATTGCTGCTTTCTAGTCTTTGAGCATAAACTGTCAAAAATAATATTTGATTATTCTTCCCTTAAGTGTTGTTTCTTATTTAATTTTAGGACGATTTGATGACACTGTTATTGAAGAGAGAAGACAGTGTGCTGAAGATCTGCTACAATTCTCTGCAAACATTCCTGCTCTTTATAATAGTAAACAGCTGGAAGATTTTTTTAAGGTTTGGTGTTTTTTCTGGAATATTTTATCTTTTATTAAATATTTTGTGTTCCAGTTTATAGTTAAAGCAAAGCTCAAAATTTTACTT